GTTCTAGTTACAATTGCAGGTAGCTCAGGACTGAGGAAAATGGGTCCAACACTTACCCAGGTGCATTTTGGGGTAGAAACATAGTAACAAGGCTGTCAATTAAAAAAAAAAAAATCTCTACATATTTTGTTACTTGTTCATAGATTTGGAAGTGGAACTCTGTATACATAATGTAAATGTAATCACATTTGAAACAAAGGCTGCTCACAGTTAGCCATTGATCCCGCAGATAGTTTCATTGTAATGGAAGTGATGAGGCAATCACTCCCAGAGAAGCTCCTTAGCAACACAGACTCTCAGTGTCACAATTTTTGGCTTAATAATTGCTGTCAAGTTTATGAATAATTTCTACAAGTAAAATGAGTAAGAGTTTTACTTTGATTTATTAAAAAGTTTTTAGTTATATTAAAACTCACTTATATGTAAAGATTATTCAAATGCCTAGAAATGTGAAGTTTTGGAGTTTTGAATCATGTTGCTTTCAAATGTCTATAAGACTTGTTTCATATTAAAAACATTTTACTACATTTATTTCAGGAGTTATGTTCAGGAAGTATGTTTAATTTGAAGTACATTTGGAACTGTAACAAATTGGGTGAAGTAATACTACATAATGATTACAGTTTACAGCCATCCTAGGTGTGCTAAGATAACGGATGTCTATTCTTCGGGCTCCAGTTGTTCCTTTTAGTAGGGGCTACCTGGGCACTATAGAATGTGGACGGTTATGAGAAATTATTCACTGTTGTTTTATTTGCAGCATTAATGTGCTTTAAAGCATTGCCACAGGTTATTATTCGTATAAGTATCATTAAATTATTTAAACTCCTAGGGGTGGCTAGTTAGCTCAGCTGATTAGAGTGCAGCCTTAGAACACCAAGGTCATGGGTTCAGATGTACATATCAGCTTAGCCACCAAAAAAAAAAAAAAAATCTCCAAACTTCTTTAACTATTTTCTAAATGTAAGTTGGGTATTTCTTTGGGTAAATTAAGTCTTTTTTTAAATGCCTCTAGGATTCTCCATCAGTTCAGAGGTAGGAGAGATCCCTGAGAAAAATAATAATATTCCTATTTAGAGAAGTGGAAGTTCAAGTAATTAATTTGAATTTTAAGAGATGTAATGTTACTTGTATTCCAAACAGTCATGTCCAGTTATAAATACATAAAACTAAATAGTGCTTTAAATGTATATAGGTTTTAAAACAATCATGGCAAGGGAAAGTATTAGTACAAGGAAAAAGAATGGAATTATTTGGTTACAATGGTTTACATAATTGCTGGAACTGAACCTCGTATTCATTTCTAAAATTCTTGTCAGCCAAACTGAAGAGTGAAAATAAGTAAGTTACAAAGACAGAAGAAATATATAAGTTCCTTGGTGGAAACTAAGATTTTTGGCTTACATTAAAATTTTAAAACAGGGCTGGTGGATTAGCCCAGTTGGTTAGAGAGTGGTATTGTAACATCAAGGTCAAGGGTTCAGATCCCCTTACAAACCAGCTGCAAAAAAATAAATTAAATAAATAAATGAAATAAAATTGTAAGACATTCTTATTGATAAATACAACACATATACAACAAAGTGCACAAAACAAAATGTACAATTCAATCAATTATCACAAAATGAACACTCCTGTAATCAGTAACCAGAACAAGAAAATGAACAAAGCCAATAAATACATGACATACTCCCCTCCCTCTGTCCACTTGTAATTACTGTCCCTTCTCCCTCCCAAAAGGAAGCATTATCCTAACTTTTATGATAATCACTTCCTAGATTTTTCTTTGTAGTTTTAAGATTTAAGTTTACACCCTATACAATAAAGTTGAATTTTGTCTGTTGGAATTTACATAGTATTATTATGAAGGCATGATGGGGGGGAGAAGTCTACTCTTTTTTGCTCAACTTCATGTTTATGAGATTTATCCATGTTGTTGCACTGAGCTGTAGATTTTCATTTTCATTATTATGTAGTATCTTGTATGAATATAGCTCAATATACTTACCATTCTAATGTTGAAAGGCCATTTGGTTTGCTTACAGTTTGTTGAGACTTTAAATTTTATTGCTAAAAGCAACTTTTATAAAATGTTTCTTGATAAACAAGTCTGTGCATTCCTACTGGGTATATTCCTAGAAGTGAGATTGCTAGATTAAAAATTGTTTTCAAAGTGTTTGTACCAAGTTATATTCCCACCAGCAGTACATGACAGTTCCCATTGGCTTACTTCCTTGATACTTGTATTGTCAGTCTTTTTAATTTTAGCCACTCTGATGGGTTATTGCATTTTCCTGATTAAAAATGGAGTTGGACACTTTTCTACAAGTTTGTCGATGATTTGGATTTTTCTCTTGTGAAGAGCCTGCTCAAGCGTCTTATCCATTTTTCTTATTGATGGTCAATCATTTTCTTAGTGATTTACATCAATTCTTGTATATCCCATATAGGGGCCCTTAATTAAACATTTTATAAATATTTTCTCCCAATCTGTGCCTTGTTTTTCAATCTCTTTAATGTTGTCTTTGCATGAACAGAAATTCTCAAGTTATCAACTTAATGTAGTCAAATTTATAATTATTTTATGGTTGGTGACCTTTTTGTTCTATTTAAAATTCATTCTCTGTCATGAAGACAATTTATATCATCTTCTAAAATATTGATTATTTAATCTTTTACAATTACACTTATAATCAATTCATCCTTGATTTGGGGATACGGCTTGAGGTAAGGGTCATGTTTCTTTTTCTATGTGAATATCAAACTGACCAAGCACTATTTATTTTCAAAATCCCTTTCTCATTTCTCAGGGGGGTCACCTTTGTTGTAAATCAAGTGTCCATTTATGTGGAAGTCTGTTTCTGGGCTAATGTATTCTGTTTCTTTCATCTGTTAGCCTATCTTTTCACCACTATAACACTGTCTTCATTACCAGAACTTTATGTAAGTCTTGATACCTTCAAGATATCCAACTTCATTATTCTTCAAGAGATTGTCAAGAGTTTCTTGGATATTTTTGGCCCTTTGCATTTCAATGTAAATTTTAGAATAAACTTACCATGTTACACACACACAACCGTATTGGGACTTATAATGTATTTGCATTGCATCTATAGATCAGTTTGGAAAGAACTAACATTGCAACAATATTGAGTCACAACCCATGAAAATAGTATAATGCTTCATTGATGTAGGTCTTCAACGTCTTTCAAAAATGTTTTATAGGGCCGACCCCATGGCGCACTTGGGAGAGTGCAGCGCTGGGAGTGCAGCAGTGCTCCCACAGCAGGTTTGGATCCTATATAGGGATGGGCGGTGCGCTCACTGGCTGAGTGTGGTGCTGCCGGTCACAAAAAAGACAAAAAAAAAAAAAAAAAGTTTTTTAGTTTTCTCTGTAGTGCGGCAATCTTTGGTTTAATTTATTCCTAGTTATTTATTATTGCCAACTGAAATTAAGGCTGTCAAGGCAAAAATAATTTTGTAAAGTTTGTTGGGAGCCAAATGTGAGGATCAACCCAGGAAATATCATCTGACAGAGTCAGAGAAGTGCTCCAAAGTTTGTTACAAATAACAAAGCTTTTATAGACATAAAAGGCTTAAAAAGTGGAAACAAAGAACAAAAATCCGGCTGGCCATTTAAAAGTTACTTTCCTTGTAAGGTGGGGACAGGCAGACAGAACAACAGAACAACAGAAAAATAACTGCTTATTAACAGCAGGTTACTTCAGGCTTCTTTTTTGTGTAAGTATTAAAACAGAGTGAACTTCATTATATCTATTGAAGATTTAAACTGGTCTGATAGGGACATTAATTGGCTATTATCTCTTTCTCCTGACTTCTCAGAAGGTCAGACCACAATCTAAGTGAGGTGGAACTTAGCAGGGGTGACTCCATTTTGATTTTTAGTCTGGTTTTTTGGGGCCTAGTGCAGGAATTTAGTCCAAAACAATGGTCTGTGATAATTCTTATTTAACACTATGTCATATACTATTATCAACCATATTTCTTTAAAACTTCAATTTTGTTTGTTCCTAATCTATCGAAACACAATTGATCTTTGAATATTAACTATGTATCCAGCAACTCTGTTAATTTATTATTTAATAAATTTAATATTTTTATTTTTATTTAATATTTTTTCTACTTTTTTCATTTTTCTACGAACAAAACATTATCCATGAAAAAATAATTTTATTTCTTCCTTCCTAATCTGTATCTTTTCATAAAAAATTCTACAACACACAATAATCTGAATCTAAGTAATGCGTCATTTTAGATGCAAATAAAACGCGCTAGTGCATTCATTTAATCTTCTTCCACCTCACACGCTCCCACTCTCAGCCAGTGCGGAGGAGTCTGGTACCAGATGACTTCACGTTAGGTTCAGGTCCCAGCTGCGGAAGCGCGCCGCCCGCTCCCTGACAGCTCCGCCCCTCGCCCAGACGCAGCCAATCAGCGGCCGCCGCTTACGCGCGCTCGACCGACCAAAATGGCGGCGGCCGTTGGCGAGCAGTCCAGTCTGTAGTGCCGTTGCCTTATTCCTCCCGTTGCGAAATGTGAAAGGAGAAGCGTGTGAAGGAGGGGGCTTATAGGCAATGAGTCGGCGAAGGAAACATGGGGACAGCCCTGGCTCGAAAATCACGCCGCGCAAAACGGCCGCGGCGGCTGAGGAATGGAGCCCGGTGGTCGAGCCGGGAAGGAGGCGGCTGAGGTCGGCCCGCGGCTCCGGGCTCCGCGGAGCTGGAGAGGGGCCTCCAGCAGCTGCTTCGTGCAGTAAAAGTAACCCCGACGGTGAGACGTCGGCAGCGCAGCCTGCCTGGGCTTCGGCGCTGCAGCCCCACAGCCCAGCTGGCATCAGGGAAATCTGGGGCGGGGGTGGAATCTGGAAGTGCGCTCACTTTCTCTGGGATCGTCCCCTCGCGAATCTAGAAATAACTGTAGCACTCCGCACGGCTTTTGTTCCCGAGTTTGAGCACTGCCCCGTTAGGTTTGACCGCCCACGTGCCCGTGCACCGGAATAGGTCGTGCGGTTTACCTATCGGGGGAGGGCGGTGACTTCTAGGCTGCTCCTCCAGTCAGCGGTAGTGGCGGAGGGAGGAGAAATAGTTGATAGGCTTTCTGCCTTTAGCTTATATTCCCGGGAGAAATATTTTCCCTTATAACTCGTTTGTCCTGACTTGCTTTAGGAAAGGGGCCATATGAAAATCTTACAGCTCGTCTCAAGATCATGGTCACGTCTCACCTCACAGCGAATAAACCAGGAGTAGTTGTGTAACCTCCAAGTAGGAAACTGAGGGCTCCTTTGGTTCTCATCAGTTTTGGGTGTTCTATTTTAAAAGAATTAATCGTGCTGGAAGCGAAACTCATATAAAAGCCTTTCCTAGAGTTTGTTCTTAAACTTTGGTGTTTGTTAGTTTGCATACCTTTAGTTTTACTCCCATGAAGCAATTCGGGAATGAACAAAGACAAATCTTTGAGTTTTAAAAGTCATTCTAGACCAAACTTCCCAAGAAATGGATCACTAATGTTTTTTAGAGTAGTGTAAGTTGAATAGAGTTGGTGAAAGGGGATACACAGACTTTTAATGAAGTTTCTGTTTGGATACTTTTGATTTTTGTGATATATCTGTAAATTACAGGTGGTTCCCCAAAGCCTTCAAATCCCAGTGATAATGAATGAAGTGACTAGGTCATATACTATCGTATACTAGAGCTTCTAGGTTATCTAAAAATAATTGCTGTTTATAAGGTCGAATTTGTGAAGTAGTGCATGGATTTTTATGTGAAACAAACATTTCAATTGTGGTCCAAGTAATATAATGGTCTTGGGAGAAAATTTTACAATTGAACTATAAAACATCCAATTATAAAATTTGACTTTAGAGTATTATAAAGAAAAGTAGTGTGTTAAAATGCAACAATTGTTATTTAATCATATTTTATATAGAAAGGTATGAAACACCAAAGAGAGTGCTGAAAATGGATTTATCGTCTACCTTCAGTTCTCCTAATGATCCGGATGGACAGAATGATATCTTTTGGGATCAAAATTCTCCAATGACAAAACAGTTAGGTAATTTGTAATTAACATTTTTACATGGGTAAATACTTGATAAATGATTAAGATTTAACTGGTCAGTTGGGTAATAACCTCAGGAACTTTTATATAACAGCTTTTTTTTTTGAGACTTAGGTGATTTTTTTTCTGTGATATACATGTGATACCACAGTTCATAGTCACCTAAGCTCTGCTAATTAAAATAATTTTCTAAGAAGTGAAAATTATTTTTAAAAATTAGTTTTTCGGTTTTTGTTTAAAATTTATAGAAATGTTTTTGTTTCTTTAGGCAAAGGAAGAAAAAAACAGATATACACGACAGACAGTGATGAGATTTCACATATCGTTAATCGTATTGCTCCTCAGGTAAATATCACTAATTCTATAGTTTATTTTAAAACAAAAAAAAAGAATGTGCCACTAAATTCTTGTATAGTTCATTTGAATGGAAAATAATGTTTTGTCTTTTATAACTCTCTTTCCTAAAAATAGGGGCAGCAAAGATTACTTTTACCTTTTTTACTTCTGAACCACATGACATTTTTGAAAAAAACAAGCATAGTATAAAATTGGTGATATATATTTTCCTAAACATATATCATATTTTAATTTTTTTAGATTAATGATTTTTGAATAGAGCTTTGTGTTTATTTTGTCTATAATGTGTTCAATAGCACGTGGCATCATTTTTCAAGTTACTAAAATAATAGAATAAAGCAATTAATAAGAATTTAAACTTTTACAACTTTTTTGTGATTGGTATTTGTTTACTATCTATAGTCCAACTTTTCCCCATTGAAACTGCTCTTAATACTCATTGACTTATAAGATCATGCAGAAATACTTATTAAAGTGAAGAGAGCCCTGGATTTTGATTTAGTCCTCATTCAGCCTTCTATGCTGTGTGACCCTAGGCATTCAGCCATAAACTAGAATTATTGCTTGTCTTGCTCTCTTCATTGGATCATTATGAGGATAAATTAGGTAAAAATTTTTTGTAAACTGTAGAACACTATAAATGTAAGGTTATGTTAAGGTTGTTAAATAACTTACTATAATAGAATCATCTTCAAAAGTTTTTTTTCTTCATTTTAATTCTGTTTGAGTGAAATAGAAATATAATTTTAAGCCAATCATTTGACACAAATGAACCCCATAACTCTACTATCATTTATTTATTTTTCCAGTTGAAATATGTGGCCATAATATCATTTATCATATTTGTCTTATGACTGTTACTAAGAAGCACAGGCTCAGTACGTGAAACTGTCTGAGCTTCTTTGCTTTTCTCTCTTTTTCTTATTTAACAACATTTAAATCCACAGAACATCCTATTTTTGCTTAGTGGCTTCTCTGCAGGAACTGGTATTTTTCCTTGGATAGTTACCGTACGTTGACCATAAATAATAGATGGCACTGGCCCAAAATTTGTTTATGAGAGATCACCATCATCCAGGTGGTGGAGACAGAAAGCAAAGTTTTTCTTAGCAGCTATAAAACATCCAGAATTACAACTAGCACAGACAAAACAACTCTGTTGTCAGTAGCTCTACATTCCATATTTGGCTTGTCATAGATAGTCCCTTTACATATGGTTCATTAGTTAAATAGCATTTGTGCCATAATACTACTTACTCTATAAGTTAACAGTAGATCTTCATTAATTGTGGGTTTCACATGAAAGAAGCATAATAAAATGTGTTTGGGCTGGCCAGCCTAAATAGTGATAAAAAGATAGTCGAGTAAATTATTAGACCCTTTACCTAAATGGGCTGGAAATAATAGCTCATATAAAGAAATGGCAACAATATGCAAGTGGTAACCTGTGTAAAAAGAAAAAATACAGAGAAATTAGTTGCTTTTAAATGTTACCTTCTTCAGCTGAGCACTTTTAAAGCACCTAAATCTTTGGTAGTATGAAGGTCTCTTTAAAAGCTTCTCATGTTCTCAGAATGGCAAATATTCATGGTTGTTTATTTTAGGTGAGTTATTCTCTTCAAATCATTTAATTTCCTTTAAATGATCTCAGAGATGGCATTTTTTTTTTAATATGGACTTCCATTTTAATGGGATAGTCATTTCACTTTTTATATGATGTTGGTTGTTTGAAGATGGTGTATATCTTTCCATCATTTATACAACATTACATAATATACTCTTTAGGATGAAATAAAGTAATGCAGTAATACAATTAGATATCTTATACAACACCTGGACTGTAGTTAGGAATCAAGAAATTATATAATTATTAATGAAGAAATATTTAAAATATAACATTTGTAAATAGTATACAAGAATATATAGGAACCCCCCGTATATATATAATGTTGAGCATATAAAGTAGTCACAATTTAGTTATTTGAAAATTGAATGAATTTAAATACTTGGTAAGTGGGCAGAGTCCATAATTAAATCATTAATAATTATTTTCCTTAAATTCAAGGTTGTTGTTGAAACAAAAGGGAAAATATATACAGTCCGAAAGTGAAATTACTGACTTTCTTGAGTATTTTGCAAAGCTAAAGTCAACTAGATTCAACTGGACGTTAAGAAAACTGCTTCTTGATTGAGCATTTTGAAGTACCAAGTTGTAGGGGTCTTTTCAACTAAACCTTGTGTGATAGTAATTTATATTCATTCTAGGTACTATAAAAATAGAGTAAAAAATCAATTTGATTTATTATTTTGGTTTACAGTTAATTCATAAAGCTAATCCTCTTAATTTCTTGTGTGATCAAGTGACAAAGGCAATAGCAAAAATATCCAGATCTGAAATAGCTTTTTCCTAGATTTTATACTGGTTAAACTTTTTCTGCTTTCTCTACTTATTCTTTGTTCTTATCTCTGCCTCATTCTTAGCATCAGTTCTAACCTTGCTCTTATCTCTAACTCAATCCTGATCTTAGTTCTTCTTTTTTTCTCTTTTCTTCATGTGTGTATTTGGTTGTACCTGACCTTCATTCTATCTAAGTGTTTTCAATTTAAGTCAACATGAATTGTCCAACTTTAGATAACGATTATAATGGGGATAAGGAAAATTTGGAGAATCAGGCAATACAGAAAGAATTCCATGTGCATCTTTCTTTATTCTCAAGTCTGATGATTTCTGCCATAGTTTATTTCTGATATTAATGTTTTTTGAGTATCTATGACAACTGAAATAAGTGAGTTTTCTTTCAATAAAAATGCACTTTTACTATTATATATGCATTTGATAAATAATTTAACTCTTAAAAACTTAATATTTTTTGAAAATAAGGAATTCCTAATTTTGAATGTTTTCATTCTGTGAAACATAAGTTGATCACTCTTGTAACTTTTGCTGTCATCCCCCAAGTACTCATTGTTTCTGAGTTTGGTAACTGTTACCTCGTCAGAATTTATTGCTCCAGGAAAATAATTCAGAGTAACTAGTTTTCATTTTCTTCCTTTCTTTTTTCATTTCTTCCTCGCCCAAGTACTCATTGTTTCTGAGTTTGGTAACTGTTACCTCGTCAGAATTTATTGCTACAGGAAAATAATTCAGAGTAACTAGTTTTCATTTTCTTCCTTTCTTTTTTCATTTCTTCCTCTCTTTCTTTTATTATTATTATTATTTTTTTGAAACTTTTACATGTCTTTTTCTCTTTTTTTCCCCTTCTGCCAAAGGATGAAAAACCAACCACAAACTCCATGCTGGGCATGTGGATTGGAGAAACTGCTATTCCTTGTACTCCCATAGTAACAAAAGGAAAATCAAGAGGAAAAATCAGCTGCACAAAGTGAGTTCAAACTTTTCAACTTTTCTGAGACTCAATGAAGCAAAAATTTTTAGTAATCTGTTCTGATTTTGTGAGTATTTCAAAATGGTTAATAAAATTTACTTACTTTTGCCAAAATTTAGAGTTAATAGAATTATAAAGTATTAAATTTTTGAGTTTTAACATTTCAAAATATGCGAAATAATATTTATAATTACTTGTAAAACATTTCTTAGTTATAATTTTTTAATGTTGTTTAATAGGTTAAAAACACAAAATCAAGAAGAAGAACTTATGAAATTGGCTAAACAATTTGATAAAAATATGGAAGAACTAGATGTGATTCAAGAGCAAAACAAGAGGAATCATGGTTTTATCCAGACAGTTTCAGAAACAGAGACTTTAAATAATTATACAGATCATGTACAGATGCAGTCATTAAGTGGTATAGTTCCCAAAATAGATAATGCTATAATAAAGAAGTCAATGAAAGGAAACACCAAGATATCTGTGGTAAATGATCAAAATAGCAGTCAGAAGCCATTTGACCAAAATGCTGAAGCAGCCTTTATTGCTATTTTTGATGGTTCTACTCAGAAATGTAGTGGACAGTTAAGTCAAGATCTGTCAGGTGCTTTTTTAAACACCAGAAATACTACCTTTGGAAAGAAAAATCTTTTAAAAGAGGAGCAAATCATTACTAATGAAACTCTGGTCACTGAAAAACTGTCAAATAAAACTCCAGGATCACTTTCTCCTCAAGTAGGTGCTCCCATGACAACAAAATCACATGCGATTTACAGTACTGAGGAGCCAGAAGCTTCTAATAAGCACATTGATGCATTTACTACCAGTGATTTTGAAGATGATTGGGAAAACTTACTAGATAATGAGCCTTTGGTTAGGCAAAATGTTGAAATAGCTGAACTCTTCCCTTCTCATAAAACAGCCCAGGTTACTAATCAAAAGAAAATCTGTACCTTTAATAGTAAAAATGATACAAGTAAGTCAAGAATGAATGCAAGTCTAGATGCCAGATTAAGAGATTCGAAAATATTACAAGATCTTCCTTCAAAGACACATAACAGAGAATCAGTAAATACTGGAGAATATGGATTTTTGCCAAATTCAAATGATAAATTAAACAAATTACTATCCACAGGAAATAAAATGAAATTTGAGAAATCTTTCAATAAAATAGTTGTTCAAGACAAAATACAAGATTGTCCAGTTACATCTAATCTGACAACGGTAAAGGAAGATATTCATACCATATTTAATTCTAATATAAATGCTTCTGAAAAAAAGTCTGCTTTGAACACAGGATATTCTGATGAACAAAAAAATAAGCCCATTTTAAATCAGTCTTTTAAAGTACCTGTTAATATTGATCCTTTTGGCTCTGCAACTCTAGTCAATGAAACCAGTATTAGTAACCCACATCAGACTAATGCATCAAAATTAAGTTCTTTCTTTGATGATTGGAATGATCCATTATTTGCCAATGAAATTATTAAAGCATGTCATCAATTAGAGAGTACTTGGGAAGCGGATGATGTAGATGATGATTTGTTGTACGAAGCATGTGATGATATTGAAAGACTAACTCAGCAACAAGACGTTGTAAAGGACAGCAAGACATCAGAAAGTATACATGAAGTCAATGATAATACCAAACATGGAGCCAAAAACATGTTTACTGTATCTAAACAAGGAATTCAGTTAGTGCAATCAAAGCATTTGAATCTGGGCAGCATTTCAGTGCAAACATCTTCCTTGACAGATAGCTCACAAATAGATAAATCAATGAAGATGGAGAAGGGAAAAGTGTGTGGGAATTCCCCAAGTTTTTTAGATGCTACAACAAATTTGACTATGTGCTCTAAGAACTCAAATTGTCAAATCAATAGTCTGCCTGTCTCTTGGAATAACACTGATGTTCCAGCACAAGTAAATAATTCCAAATCCTTTCATGCAGGAAGTTCAAATTTGAATATGCGTTCAGATCATATGAGCACTGAAATTGCTACTTATAAGAAGAAATTAAGTACTCAGCAACTATCCTGTAAGACTGTAATGGATGAAGCTCATAGTGATCTTGACAAAACAGATAGATTTTCAAAGTATACGTTTGCAAAGATGAAAAATTCCCAAATTCTTTTTCAATTTAATCAAAATTGTATAACAGGAAGTATGTCTGGTACCAAAATTATACAGGATTTGGAGAAAAAGAAAACTGTCAGCCCATTTCTTGGGGAGGCTGTTCAGCAGCAATCTTCAGTGAAACTTTATGAATCTTTGAAACAGTCTTCAAGAGGTATGTATTAGATAGTTTTCTTTGAAAAGAATCATCTTGGAAAGTAATAAAACTAGTTATTTGCTGTTTTGAGTGTAAGTAACATAAGGTAAAAACTATTCTATGATGTTTAACTAGAATTCTTAAAGTGATTCTTGCAAATAATGATGCTGTAATATATGAAGAGTAGGTGGTATATTATGATTCCGTCAAATTCTTTCCCAACACTCAGTACAATCACTGGCATATAGAAGGTACTCAGTAAATATCTGTTGAATGATTTATGAGTTATTTCCTGGAAAATTGTACTTGTAGATATAAGTATTGCAGTGTTAGTTTTAACATTGTTGGCGTTTAGTAAATATCTCATATTAATACTTGAGTAATCTTACTCCTACTTTTAGTGGAACAGCAAGGTGAACAATATTTGAAAATTTAGAGTATTCTAATTAAACACTTTGCTAATATAATATCTGATATAAAACTCAGTGCTAATTGTGACGGTTAGAATTGTGATTTACTTATTTGATACAACCTGTCATTTCTGATGCTTCTAATTCCACATTTCCCCAATTCTCCATTCTGTCAATAAGTTCCATTGTTTCTATCTTGAAAATTGTGTCTCAGGACTGTCCATTTTCTCACTCTCTACTGCTACTACCCTTATCCAAGCCAACATTTCTAGATTAGTCTACTGCAGTTCTTTTATCTGTCCCCTTTCAATTCTAGTCTCCAAATAGCAGAATTTAAAGCCAGGTAGACAACTATGGCATTCCTGTGCTTAAAACAACCTTCCATAGCTGCCCATCATATTTCAAATAAAATCCAAACTTTACACTGTGATCTACAAAGCTCTATCTAGGTTGTCTCTCCTTAACCTGCCTCTTCTCTTTTTTCCTTACCTACTGTTGCTTCAGCTACACCGTCTTTAAATTTCTTGAACAAAATAGGGTCTCTCCTACTTCAGCCTATGCTATTCTCCTTGACTTAAATTACTCCTTCCCAACATTTGACCCCTTTCCCCACCCTTACCCTTTTGTTGGTGCTTTTTTATGTCTCAATATAAGTATTAATTTCTCACAGAGGCCTTCCTTGAAGAGTGTATAATTAGGTCTTTTCCTTGTTTATTTTCCATCATTTCTTAATTCCTTCATGTCTTTTATCAGAAGTTGCAATTTAGTGACTATTGTCAGTCTGGTTGGCATTATTGCTAAAACTTTCCTATTTAAGTGACTCCCCCAGCTTTTTTTAACTTGCAGTAGTAATATGCTAGTTGTTTAAAAAGAAAGAAATAAAACAGTATACAATAATTTGAAGTAAAAAATTAAGTCTTATATTATTTTCTTTCCCATGCCATTCCACTGGGAAAACCACTATTAACAGTTCGGCATACATCATGTATCATTTTTATGCATATAAAAAGGTGTGTGTATGCATGTATATGCATACATATATGTAAATATGTGTGTATACCTATAGATTTATTTAAATAGATGGAAGTAGACACTATATACCTGCTGTTTGGCAACTTGCTTTTGTGCCTTTGCTTAATTTAATTATAGCTATCTTTTCCTGTTACTACATCTACGTGATATGTTATATGGATGTGCCATAATTTAACTGTTTCTATATTGGTATAAGTTGGTTGCAGTATTTTGCAATTACAAACAGTACTCTAGTGAATATCCTTCTACGTAAATTTCTGCATGCTGTGTATTGTATCTGTTAACTTCTAGAAAATTGATGTAAGAGAATGTTTTGAATTTTGATGGATATTGCCAAATTTCCTTTCAAAAAAGTGACACCAGTTTATACTCTTATCAGCATTGACAATAAACATTTCTCTACATGATGGCTCAAACTAGATATTTTGAAATTTTAAAAATTGCTGTCAATCTTAAATAATTTAAATATTATTAAATATTTTGAATATTTAAATTTATATCGAATATTTAAAATACTTAAATTTATATTAAAATATTGTAAATAATTCAGCTGTGTTCTCAAAATGAATTTGTTTACATATAGTTGTAATTCCATTAAAGACTAAATCTCTCTGGAGTGTTTGAGCTTTTCCCAAAACTTCTGCTATCCATCTGCATTTTTTATGGGTGAAAAATTTGCCTTTTAGCATACCTTATCAATTTTTCCTTTAAGTTTATTGATAGTACCCAATCTCTTAATTAATATTAACCTTATTGATGTTGTCTGTTGTTTTTTTCTTCCTTTTACATTGGTATGTAGCAAGCTGCTCTCCAGGGAGTATCTTTGAAACAAAACCCATTTAACTCCCTCATTGATTTAAGTCAGGAGTTGGCAAACTATGGCCTGTTGAAATCCAGCCTGCAGCCTGTTTTTGTACAGCCAGCATAGTAAAAACGGTTTTAGCGTTTTTAAATGGTTGAAAAAAAATCAACAGAATAATATTTCACGACATCTGGAAATTATATAAATAGAGAAAGTTTTATTTGAACACATTTTTTTATTTGAGCGCATCATTTGTTTATGTATTGTCCATGACTATTTTTGTGCTATAATGGCAGACTTAAGCAGTTGCAAGAAGAGACCATCTGGCCCTCAAAGGTTAATGTACTTACTTTCTGGCCATTAACAGAAAAAAATTTTCTGACCCCTGCACTTTAAAGGTAAAGATTAAGAAAGCCACTTTTGCTTAATGCCTAGGAATAGTTTGAGACTTTGCTGTGTGTTTTTTATTATAGATTGAGTTAAAAGAAGGGCTGATGGGAAAGATAGATGATTCTCTAATCAAATTTTCATGGTTTGACTTGATATCATTTGAAATTATTTTCCGGAATATCACCAAGCCAATTGTAAGGCCAATTTTAGGAAGTTATATTCTTTTCTGCTGTTGTAGGTTATTAACCTGTTTTCCTTTCATACTTACAGTCAGTTGAATTTAAATTCTGTGTACGTGTATTCTTAGTTTTTTGTGTTTCTCAGTTTTGAGGCTTAAATATTAGATAATTAGTCAAGCTAATTATATATATGTATACATACACACGCGCACACACGCACGCTGCGCGCGTATGTATGTATATTTCAGCAGCTGGCTGGTGGTACCGGAATCCCAACCCTTGACCTGAGGCTTAAATATTAGATAATTAGTCAAGCTAATTATATATATGTATACATACACACGCGCACACACGCACGCGCGTATGTATGTATATTTCAGCAGCTGGCTGGTGGTACCGGAATCCCAACCCTTGACCTTTGAGTTACCAACAGTGTGCTCTAACCAGCTGAGCTAACCAGCCAGCCCAAACTAATTATAAAGTATCTTCTAGTGTCTTTCTGTAAGGGAAAGTAGCTACAGTCTTAACTAACTTAAAAAATAAAAAAGATCAAGGGTCGCTGGTTAGCTCGGTTAGAGCACAGTGTGGTAAAACCAAGGTCAAGGGTTTGTATACAAAAAAATTTTTAAAAGAAAAGACATCAGAATTATCTGGGGAGTTTATTCAAAATATGTATTTTTTAACTGAATACCCTCTCCCATTTCTGATTATACCAAGAAAGTTAAGGGAGACAGATGATATATTTTGGAAAATGCCTGTCTTAGTTTACAAGAGAAATATCATATAACAAATTCTGAATCTTCTTCTAGATGTCAGTATGAATAATATTTTTCTTCTCACAATACAGTCATGTGTCGCTTAATGGGGATACGTTTTGAGAAATGTGGTTAGGTGATTTTGTCATGTGAACATCATAAAGTGTACTTACACAAACCTAGATAGTATAGCCTACTACACACTTAGACTATAGGGTATAGCCTATAGCTTCTAGACTACAAACCTGTACAACATGTTATTGGGTTAAATGCTGTAGGCAGATGCAACACAGTGGTGCGTATTTGTGTATCTAAGCATATTAAACATAGTAAAAATACAATATAAATGATTAAAAATGGTACACCTGTATAGGGTACCTACAATGAATGTAGCTTATAGGACTGAAAGTTGCTCCGAGTGGGTCAATGAGTGAGTGGTGAGTGAATGTGAAGGCATAGGGAATTATAGTACACTACTGTAGACTTTATAAACACTACCCTTATGCTACACTAAATTTATTTTTTAAAAAAGTAATTGCACTACAACATTAAGACAGCTATGAGATAGGTTTTATTATGACACTAGGCGATAGGAATTTTTCAGCTCCGTTGTAGTCTTATAGGGCTACCATCATACATTTGTCCTCACTGACCAGAATATCATTATGTGGTGCTTGACTGTCACACGTTCTTATTTACTTTTCTGAAAAGCATATTTTACAACATGCCATGGTTTTTCCAATAAAAATTAAATATGTATTAGAGTTCTTAAATTTTAAATATTATTTAAATGAGTAAATGGTTTCTAATATGATTTCAATTTACTTAATAGAATCTATTTTAAAGTCTCTACAAAATACATATTTCAAATAAAAATATAGTCTCTAATAGGGAGTCACAGGTGGCCAGTTTGACATGAGAGATTTCACTTTATCACTCTAAAATATTTTGCCTCAGTGGCTGAAATGAAAACCTTGTAGCTCTATAGAGAAAAAAGTAGATGACTATTAGTACAGCTTATCTTAGAATNCACCAAGCCAATTGTAAGGCCAATTTTAGGAAGTTATATTCTTTTCTGCTGTTGTAGGTTATTAACCTGTTTTCCTTTCATACTTACAGTCAGTTGAATTTAAATTCTGTGTACGTGTATTCTTAGTTTTTTGTGTTTCTCAGTTTTGAGGCTTAAATATTAGATAATTAGTCAAGCTAATTATATATATGTATACATACACACGCGCACACACGCACGCTGCGCGCGTATGTATGTATATTTCAGCAGCTGGCTGGTGGTACCGGAATCCCAACCCTTGACCTTTGAGTTACCAACAGTGTGCTCTAACCAGCTGAGCTAACCAGCCAGCCCAAACTAATTATAAAGTATCTTCTAGTGTCTTTCTGTAAGGGAAAGTAGCTACAGTCTTAACTAACTTAAAAAATAAAAAAGATCAAGGGTCGCTGGTTAGCTCGGTTAGAGCACAGTGTGGTAAAACCAAGGTCAAGGGTTTGTATACAAAAAAATTTTTAAAAGAAAAGACATCAGAATTATCTGGGGAGTTTATTCAAAATATGTATTTTTTAACTGAATACCCTCTCCCATTTCTGATTATACCAAGAAAGTTAAGGGAGACAGATGATATATTTTGGAAAATGCCTGTCTTAGTTTACAAGAGAAATATCATATAACAAATTCTGAATCTTCTTCTAGATGTCAGTATGAATAATATTTTTCTTCTCACAATACAGTCATGTGTCGCTTAATGGGGATACGTTTTGAGAAATGTGGTTAGGTGATTTTGTCATGTGAACATCATAAAGTGTACTTACACAAACCTAGATAGTATAGCCTACTACACACTTAGACTATAGGGTATAGCCTATAGCTTCTAGACTACAAACCTGTACAACATGTTATTGGGTTAAATGCTGTAGGCAGATGCAACACAGTGGTGCGTATTTGTGTATCTAAGCATATTAAACATAGTAAAAATACAATATAAATGATTAAAAATGGTACACCTGTATAGGGTACCTACAATGAATGTAGCTTATAGGACTGAAAGTTGCTCCGAGTGGGTCAATGAGTGAGTGGTGAGTGAATGTGAAGGCATAGGGAATTATAGTACACTACTGTAGACTTTATAAACACTACCCTTATGCTACACTAAATTTATTTTTTAAAAAAGTAATTGCACTACAACATTAAGACAGCTATGAGATAGGTTTTATTATGACACTAGGCGATAGGAATTTTTCAGCTCCGTTGTAGTCTTATAGGGCTACCATCATACATTTGTCCTCACTGACCAGAATATCATTATGTGGTGCTTGACTGTCACACGTTCTTATTTACTTTTCTGAAAAGCATATTTTACAACATGCCATGGTTTTTCCAATAAAAATTAAATATGTATTAGAGTTCTTAAATTTTAAATATTATTTAAATGAGTAAATGGTTTCTAATATGATTTCAATTTACTTAATAGAATCTATTTTAAAGTCTCTACAAAATACATATTTCAAATAAAAATATAGTCTCTAATAGGGAGTCACAGGTGGCCAGTTTGACATGAGAGATTTCACTTTATCACTCTAAAATATTTTGCCTCAGTGGCTGAAATGAAAACCTTGTAGCTCTATAGAGAAAAAAGTAGATGACTATTAGTACAGCTTATCTTAGAATAGTAAACATACTCTATTTAAGATATTGGTATCAAACTTAATTTATCAAATTTAATTTATCATATTTTGACTACTTTTCAATTAAAGTTTATATGAGGGTGCTTCAAAAAGTTCATTGAAAAATTGAATTACAAGATAGTACAAATCTATGAATCTTTTCATGAACTTTTTGAAGTACCCTCATATAACGTTTAAAATACCAGTTTTTAAGATAGATTCATTCGTGGGTCATGTAAATTAGATGTCATAGTCCACATGAAGTATTTGGTAGGTAATCAAAATAAAGATAGTTTTTAATCAAATTGAGTTTGATCACACTGTGAAGAGTGTGCATAAGATAGGGACAGATTGGTCAGTGCCTGATTTTCTTTTGAGTTGAAGCATTGTATCTGTATGTATGAACTTTGAATCTTATAGTTAGTAATTTAGTATGATTTAAGAGCCAAACTGATAGGCAAATCTGGGTAATGAGAAGGCAAAAATTAAAGCTCTTATTCAAGATGACTTTGTAGGCTGTAAAATTAATAGCTATATTTTTGCTTAATTTTTAGAGGAAGAGGAGAAAAATAGAAAGTATTCCCCTGAAGAAATTCAGAGAAAAAGACAAGAAGCACTGGTTCGAAGAATGACAAAAGCACGGGCATCATCTGTAAATACAGCTCCCACTTAATTTCCGTAATGAAATATTAGTTGGAAGACTTAACAGACTGTTGATAACTATCTATGATAGGAAATTTTTTTTTCTTGATTTCTCTGTGAGAAATTTAATGCTGACTTTTAAAGCATGGACTTTACTTTATTAAATAATAAATCTTTTCAATGATGGTAAATGAAACCTTTCCTTTGAAATGTATGTGAAAGTAATTACACGTAAATTTTGGAAAATTCAGTAAAGTTACCAATTATGTACTAAAATTATACAGAGTAAAGTAATTATATTTTTAAATACTGTGATTGCAGGTAATCATCAAAAAATAGATAATCTACTTAATTTTCTATTGTAATTTCTTTTCCTAATACAAAGCTTCAACTTACTGAGGTAATAGGGACTATTTCTATATAGTTTTACTTTCAGTAACTTGTTTAAGGTTTTTATACCTTTCTGAATTTAATTATTTTTTTATTTTTATTTTTTTTTGTCTTTTTTGAGACTGGCCACACCGCGCTCAGCCAGTGAGCGCACCGGCCATCCCTATACAGGATCCAAACCCGCAGTGGGAGTGCTGCTGCGTTCCCAGCGCCGCGCTCTCCTGAGTGCGCCACGGGCTCAGCCCACCTTTCTGAATTTTAATTAATACTTCCATATTTCTAGGAACATGGTTGGTAGGAAACAAAGGACTTCAGTTTATTTGTAAAGAAATTATTTTCAATTTCAAAAGTAGATTTGAATTTTAAGATTTCTGAAATGTGATATTTTGGAAACTTTCATCATTTTTAAGGAAAACACTGATTTAAGAAGTCTAGTTTAGAAAAAGGAAGTAGTGAGGGCCAGCCCGTGGCTCACTTGGGAGAGTGTGGTGCTGATAACACCAAGGCTACAGGTTCGGATCCCTATATAGGGATGGCGGGTTAGCTCACCTGGGAGAAAGTGGTGCTGACGACAGCAAGTCAAGGGTTAATTAAGATCTCCTTACGGGTCATCTTTATTTAATAAAAAAAAAAAGAAGAACAAAGAAAAGGAAGTAGTGAATTAGCTATATAAGTAATGTAATATCATTAACATTTAGAACTGGCAGAAACTTCAGATATCATCTGATCCACCTTTATTGTATAGGTGAGGAAAATTAGTACAGTTATTTTAAGAGTCACAGGCAAGTTAAAGCTGTGCTAGGATTAAAATGTTTTCTTTGGACACCTAGACAATTATACGATTTATTTCAAAGCCTTAGTACATAAAATAACTTGTTTGGGGGAGCATTAATTATTTTATGGTATAAAACAAAAATGTAATTAAAAGCACATTAAGGACTTCAGTAATAATGCTCATTGTTTCTTATGTTGTTTTAAAGAATCCAGGGTATAAAAATGAGTCTTTTTCTTTTCAGTTTTCCTGTAACTATGCAGTTTTTCCCTCAGTTAATTCACTTACTTCACTAATTTTTTCTTCTCTGTTACTTTTTTTTTCCCCCTTTTCTCCCGTTTGGAATTTGCTGAGCCAGTAATAGAAATCTAACAAGAGGGCATAAGGCAGTAAGCATGCTTTATTTCTCCCAAATGGCTTTAGGAGATGTAAGGAAAGTTATAGATGTGAAACCCTGTCATGGTATGCTGTTCACTACTATTCAAGTATCATAGAGCTATGATAATATAGTAGTTATTGCTCTGTAAGAATACAAATGCTGCTTGAGTTAGAATGGGCTTATGTCCTGATAAACCCATCGTATGTTGGAAACATCCTAAGTCGAACATGGATTTAATGCACCTAACCTACTGAACATCATGGCTTAGCCTAGCCTACCTCAGATATGCTCAAAACACTTACATTAGGCAAAATTATAGTTCAGAACACTTACAGTAGGCAAAACATTACCATTGGTTAAAATCCTCTGGCAACACAGGACACTGCTGTGTGTCAGTTGTTTACTTTTGTGATTGCATGGCTGCCTGGGAGCCATGGCACGCTGTCACTGCCCAGCACCACAAGAGAGTGTCATAGTGTGTATCACTATTCTAAATTCGAGGTAAGGTTTCTATTGAATGTGTATTGCCTTCACACCATTGTAAAGTTGAACAATTCTAAATAGAACCATCATAAGTAATGGACTGTCTGTATATCACTTTGTAAATGATATTTTCATGTGTATAGTGCAGTAACAGATAACCTGTGTTATTTGTCTAACATGTAATTAAGAACCTAAGTAAATGCAGGTAAGAAAATGAAGACCTGATAATACTTGATATTTTCCTAACTTGGCTTCACTGTGTTTTGACTGTGCTTAAGCATTCCCTGCTTACTACTTTCTCTAGAGTGCTTTTAGCCTATTCTGTCCATTTATTTAGACTTAGCTTAATAAGTCTCAGTATCTTTGAAACTCATATTTGGCCATCTTCACTGGAATTCATTTCTTCTCTCTGATTTGATGGTTCTTCTTGTATCTTTCATGAGGCAAACGTGTAATGCCTTATGTGTTCAATTGTATATATATTTTATAGTACTATTTTAAAACTTGTCATTTTGTTTCTCCTTCATAATTATGCCATATTTTCATACAACCTGTAGTGTTATTTACATAATAGTTTTCTCTAAGTGGCTCCCTATTTCTTTAAAAGGAAGCTTTATAGGTCTTCTGGGTGGTCGAGGGTGTAGTGGCCCAGCACATCTGACCTGACCACAAATGGGTTTTTAGGCTAATTCCTGCTGTTCATACCACTGTCCTTTTCTATCCTACTTCTTCCTTTAGCTATTGTTGGAAATAGAGGTAGAGTAGAGCCTATCTGTCATTACTCTTTTCCTATTGTAGACAGAAAACTGGATCCCAGGAACTATTGAATTGCTTAACACAGACATAGTCAGTGGTATGCAGACACGTACTATACCGTGGGAAACACTGCCTTATATCATTATACATAACCCTGTTATCACCGGCTTTTACGTTACCAAAAACAGAGACACTTTACTCATCTCTGTTCACCTGCTACTGGTATTCAGTGGTTACTCATTAAATGTTGAATGAATTTAGAGAGATTCTGCTTTGCCCTATTAAAACAATTTATCTCTGAGATTCTGAGCTTTAGGGTTGAAAAATGTACCTTGGGACAATTTAAATTTAAACTAACACTGATTAGTGTAAGTGACAATTTACTTAAAATCTGACTGTGGTTTTTAATTTTGTCAGATGTGATCATAATCACTTTTGGTATTAAGAACAAAACACCAAATTTGTCCTTGTGGCTTCCCTTAGACCTCATAAATGAGTATGCATAGGGATCTTTTTAAAGTCCATTGGCTAATAGCAGGGACTGTTGAAAAGAAATCAAAATTGGTAAATTTATGTGACATTGCTAAATGTTTTATTTACCAGGAATGATTTTAAGCTCTTAATATTTAACTCATTTACTTCTCAAAACAACCATATTGAATAACACTTTTACACCCATTTTACAAATAGAGAAAGTATAGTAAGCAGATTAAGTGACTTTCTCAAAATCACACAATTGGAAAGAAATTGGAGCTGGAGGTTGAACACAAGTGTATCTAATTCTAAATACTGTCATGTTAACCACTGAGCATACTGTCATTGGTGGAAACAATTCACAAGAACCAGTGATCTATGGAAATTATCTATTTGTACAGGAAAGAATTAAAGCATTTCAGACATTTGTGCCAAACGTCTCATAAGTATTCTATAGGTCTCTTAATTTTATAACTCAGGAGAATTTTTTTTTCCAATCCCAATTTTGTTGTTGTTGTTGTTGTTGTTGTTGTGACCGGTAAGGGGATCGTAACCCTTGGCTTGGTGGTCGCCTGCACTGTGCTCAGCCAGTGAGCGCACCGGCCATCCCTATATAGCATCCGAACCTGCGGCCTTGGCGCTCCCAGCGCCGCACTCTCCCAAGTGAGCCACGGGGTCATCCCTCCAATCCCAATTTCTGATACAGATGACTGCTGTACGTTACGTATGTGAGTGGGTGGCTATTGACCATGAGTCCACATAGAGGTTGCTTTTTTCACTTGGCTATTAAAAAGAAGAATACAGATATACATAAAATGCATAGCTGTTTTTAACGACTTCATTTTACTTCATTATTTTAGTAACTTCTGGTTCTGTTTTTAAATCTGTTGGGGAAAACTTAATTTCCTAGTCCAAGGTGTATTGGCATACCTCAAGTTGCTAGTAAAACTCCAGTCCTGGTGAGAAAATTAAGGTTTCTGGTTAGATGCATACTATATAGAGTAGTAGTATTCAAACATTTTAGTCCTGGGGTCTTTTTATACTCTTAAGTTTAGGACTCCAAAAAGCATTTGTTTATATGGGTTATGTCTATTGATATTTACCATACTAGAAGTGAAATATTTATTAGTACACGTAAAAATAAACCATTGTATGTTAACAAACATGCATTTTTCTTATGAAACATATTTTCTAAAAAAAAAATGAGCGAGAAAAATAGCATTGTTTATTTTTTTGGCAAGGTTTTGATATCTAACATAGAAGATAGCTGAATTCTCATATGTTTCTGCATTTAATTTGTTACAATATGTTCCCATAGTTAACTATATGAAGAAAGTCCAGTCTCACACAGATACGTAGTCAGGAAAGGAAGAAGTGTTTTAATAGCCTTTTCAGATAATTGTGGATATTCTTCTTTGATATTACACTGAAACTCAAAAAGTGTACCTTAAAAGTTAGTTGTGATGGGTTGGCTGGTTAGCTCAGTTGGTTAGAAGTGCAGCTTTTGATAACCAAGGTCTTGGGTTCAGATCCCCATACCAGCCAGCCACCTAAAAAATAAAAAAAAAAGTTGTGTTAATTCCAAGATGGAATAACAGAGACCACATGTATGCTGAAACAAACACATTGTTGTTGTTTTTTTTTTCCTTTCTTGTCTTTTTTACTGACCGGTAAAGGGATCGCAACCCTCGGTGTCACGCCCATACCAGGGACCGGCAACGGGATCGCAACCCTCGGTATTGCGCCCTCACCGCGCTCAGCCAGTGAGCGGGAACCGGTCTCCACATGGGATCCGAACCCTCGGCGGGAGTGCCGCCGTGCTCCCAAGCGGCGCACTCTCCAGTGCGCCACCGGGCCAGCCCAGAAACAAACACATTTTAAAAAGACACTACATGAAAATGTGGATTCAAGACACTG